CATTCTACCTTAACATATATTTCTTTCTTAATCATCCATTGAAGTATCAAGCTCCATAGAGGAATACAAAAAGATATTATAGAAATGGCTACAACCATTGCAATTACCAAAAATGTAGTAAAAATAGATTAATAGAATCTTAACCTATGTAATTTCTTTCTTAACCTTTGTGATATTTTAATTGCAGTATTGAAGCTGAGAGGGTGAAAATTCCATAACCAACCATCTCCTTGGTCAATAATTGCCTTGGAAAATATTAATAGTCTTTTATGTTCACAACTGCATTTACTAAAGAACATTATGTCTCCAAATAAGAACACTATATTTTCCAAGGATATTACATTGGGAGCTGACAATATTTGTTTATGTTTCAAAGTGAAGACAAATATCTGTGTGGTATTTATGCAAAGAAAGTGCTTCCGCCTTTTAATCACAATAGTATATTTTCATTATGTAGTAGAAGATGAAATATAAAAACTTGTCCTTTGTGTTTCAGCATGAAATCTAGGGTCAAGAATAATTTCTCATAATGTTTTGGAAAAAGACTCTGGCATGGATTGTATATTTCTTTTTAACTTTAAGAGATTCATATAACAGATAAATAAAGGTAACTTGATGTGTCCCCCACACTCCTTTTTGCCAATAAAAAATATATGAATCTTATCTACATTCTCAAATGGCATTTTTATTTACTACTATACCTGTCTAAATGTGAGGTTCTATAGAATCTATTTCTCTCATAAAAGTTAAGATACTCTAACATAATAGATTCTGAGACATTCTAGAACAAGGACAAATTGCTTAATTCTGTGTCCCCTCCAAATATTTGAATATTTATATATATACATATATGTACATATATATACATATATATATATGTATATTTATATATTCCATCTGCAAATCATTGGACTCATTTGATGTCCTCTGGTTTTTTAGGTATTATTTATATAATTTCAATGCCAATAGAACAATACTGAGGATATCAAAATAATCAAACTGGATGTTTAAAAAAACAGTAGAAAATACTACTTATTTTTTAAATTCATAATTTAGCAGAAAAAGGTCCACAGTATAAAAGTCTTTTCATTTCACTAAGTTACTAAGTAAAATTTTTCTGTGACATTTAATGTGAATGCTGTAAAACAATATTGTCTGCAAACATTTTAAGAACATACTTGAAGGCATGCTATGTTAGAGATATTTCCTAGGCATGAAAGATAAGAAACTCAATTTGGATGTCAATTGTTATTCATCTTATTTATGGTTGGACCTGGCTTTGTGGGGATATAGTCTTTTTGGTAGCCATTTAGCTGTGCCTTCTGCGGTATCAAACAGGCATATCAATCCTCAGCCCCATAAGAGAACTGGGTCCGAGCCATTCCCTTTAAGAGGGTCCTTCCACATAGCTGTGGCATATGGCACTTATGCCTCACTGGACAACAACAGGGGGACCGGAGCCATTACAAAGTCTCCTTCAATTACTGGAGGTCAGGCCTCTATCCCCACCTTTGCAAGATTAGGGTCACCACAGCCCTTCTATACTTAGAGAAGGGAGGAGATGTCAGGGGCAGCCCTGCTTAACACTGAAGGCCTAAAATCAGCCATAGGCCTAAAATCAGCAATAGGCCTGTCATACATGTATACTAACACCAAGTCTTGGGTCTCTGTGGAAAAACATTGAAACAGATGGCTATAAGCTAATGTAAACAGGCAGCTTTTGTGGAAATTTACAAGCTTGAGTAGTCATAGACCTTGTAAATAGGTAGCCTTGGCAGATAATACCAACTTAGATAAGGACAAGTGAATCATACGCAGAGTCATAGCCACCTGTCCCCTCAACTTTCACCCAGCTAATACCATGCTCTGAAAGATATCTGTACTCCCCCGAACAACCACACTCCAGTATCATCCCCTTCCCCATATCCTGCCTTTTTGTGTTTATAACCCCTGTGTGAATAAGTAAAAATTATGATTAGACTTAAAAAAATATATTAAAAAAAGAAACTCAATTTGATGTTTGAGGATTTCAATTATTTAATGATGATATAATCATTAAGTACTCAGGACTACTGAAATTGTTTTGGAAAAGACTATTATTTATTTTAAAATCATGTTTCTTCAAGTAGATAGTCACATGTTTCCTTTGTAGTATAGGCCATGTATGCATTCTATTTGAGTATTTATTCAAACAGAGGACTACCCTTTTTTGTATTTGAAACATAACTGGTGATAATTCATATTGAGAACATGGATACAATATATATGACACAATGTAAAGTTTTCATACTTTTATTGTGTCATGTTGGTTTTAGCTAAATTGTTTCTACATTCACAGAATACTCTATATTCTTTCTAGCATTTATCAGAATTTTATTATAAAATATTTTAATGTTATTATTTAAATGGGGATGATAAGTTAACAACATTCAATTTCATATTATATTCTATTCTGAGTAAATTTTCTTCTGTACAAAATAATTTTAATCCATTATTCAAGAATAAATACTTAAATACCTTTATTTTCTATGCACATTACTAGTTGCACAACTGAATGTCTTCACTGTAGTATATTGAAGATTATCTAACATCTATTGTATTCAATTTCTAATGTTGATGGAAAGTCTTCTGTGAGTATTGTTAGTCTTCAACTGCTTTTGTACAATCTTGGTCTTTTAATATATAGAGATTCTTTCAAAAATATATAAGTATAGACCCACTGTTGTTTTTCTCTTGTAGGTAGAGTTTGATTTAATGTAGGAAGTTATATAAACTCTAACTTGATAATATAAAAAATCACCTAATTATATAAAGTAATTGTCTTTTCCTCGTGTTCTTCAGTTTTACATTCTGGAACCCTTTTATGAGTAATACAGAACACTTTTTATTCTAGTTTCCATGTCTTTTATAATTTTCAACAGACAAAGTTTTCTTAGTACATTCTAATTTATATATATACATATTTTTACTAAAATAAATATATGGCTGACTGATATGGAAATTTGAAGCCTTTAAGTCTTACTTTTTATTAAAAAGCTCAATAATAATTCTATTAGAAAATTCGTGCAGACTCCTACTCTTTATTGATTGAATCACAATATGTGTCTTCATTTTCTGCAAATACTGTTTGACACGGTAGAAAACTACTTGCCTATGAATTTCATTTAACTTGTAACATGGACTGATCACAATAGATTGGATAAGGTTATTATTCCCACCTTAAACAAATTACCCACAATGAGCTTAACTATCTTAGTGGCTTAGAAGTTTATATATAATAAAAACATTTAATTATGAATGGAAAAATGAATTTCATAAACTATGAACTGTTTTTAAATGTTCTATTAATTAGAAACATAATTCAGAATTATTCTACTAGGATATAATGAGGTAGTTCAAAAGGGAAAATATTTGCCTTGCAAGGATCATGACTAGGATTTGTTTTCAAGCTCCAGGTCCACATATATTTATGTTATTTGCAATCACATGTGCTCCAGACTAATTAGAATCCCAGTCTTCTCCACCCCCACCAATTATTTATGGGATGGAACCTGAAGAATAATACCTGAAGTCTTCTCACTTAAAATTTGACCTGCACTACACACATATACATTTAACCACATCTCAATTTACATCTATTCCACACATGAACTCTTCCCCATATATACAAATTATTTTACTAGAATTTTATGTTGCCTATTGTAAGTCTCAGTGATTTGTGATATATTATGTTAAACTTGCAAAATCATAGACTTTAATGTTTAATCAGGAAAAACTAAGACTTAAAATAGTTGCAGCATTTTTTTTAAAAAAAAATGGTTTTTGAGAGATTAGCTGACCTTGAATTCCTGTTTCTGTTATGTATAGCCCATAACTTCTATAATTACAAGCATGTGCCACTATGCCTGGTTACTATTTCTTAATATTATTTCAAACTGTAATAGTTAGCTGCAATTAAACTTTAGATTATCGCATTCATAAATAACTGTATACTTAGAGATTTTCTTAAAAGTATAAAAAGATGTAACAACAATATGCCATGTATTTTCACATACATGTTCATAAAATGGTTATTTCAATTACCTTATACATCTTACATATACACTGTATCAAGTGGAATGAATAATATCACAGAAGAAATATCATTTTTGAATCGAAACTCATGCAGTTGATATTTACACAATGCAAAATAGTTGAATAACTTTTTCATAGACTCTAACCTAACATTTTTTCTCAGACATTTATATCCTGTGTTTGTGATGAGTAGTTTCTGGAAATTACAGATGGTGGTCTTTCTTCTTCACCTTCTAAGAACTTGAAGTAGGAGCAAAAATGTATTCATCAAAATGTCTCTGTAGTTTCTAATTTGTTTACAAACAATCATGAGTGATAATACAACTTTCAATTGTGTTTTCAAAGACAGTATCAGAAACATTCCATCCTCTTGGTTTCTTCCATCAAATATCAACATATCATGAGCCATCCAGTTTGTCTAATGCGTAGTGTGACGCACTATGTGCCTAATCCAAAAGTAAAGTCTGTAGTAATATACTTTAAATCAATAAGATAAGATCGTATATAGGTTGTGATAATATATTCCATAAAATAGTTATTTACCATGTATGCAGTAAGAAAGCAAAATCAGCATGGGATGATCTCAGGAAAGCAATATATATTTCTGGGTTAGACACTGAAGCTAAATAAATGTATGAGAAGTTGAGAAATTCATATTGCCAATGTTATGAAAATGATGCAGCAAAAGAAATTAAGATGTGTATTTTTTCATTATGAATAAGGGAAATTTTTCCTGTCACTTGTTCTTTTGTTCTTAGTCTTGAAAATTAAACTTTTGAGTTACAGAAGCCCAATGTGAAGGGCACAACTCACTTTTAGGATGTACACTATTTGTTATTGAGCCCAGATTTTGATGTTGTTAGTAGGCTTCTGTTAATATAGTAGTAGTTGCAAACACATACGTGGGTTTGCCAGTAACAACTCACAATTTGTGCAAAGTTGAGTCTTCGAAACTGAGCAAAATTGCTCTCAATTTCCCGCCAGCGCTTGCTGAGCTGGATCTGAGTTGGCTCCACTGCCATTGCGGCCCCATTCTCAGACAAGCCCTCAGCTTGCCTGCGTACTGCATTCAGCTTCTCTTTCTTCTTCTGCAATTCACGATCAATTTCCTATTGAGCAAAATCAATACAGGGCCCAGGGCAGTTAGCTAACCATGTCAACCGACCTACAAGCAGCAAATACTTCTCTCAGAATTTTCATAGGCTGTTGTTCCTTTATCTTTATTTTTCATAATTTATAAATAATGGAAGGTGTCACTGTCATCCTCACCCAATAAGCCAAATATAATTTTAGGTTTCATTTGAATGCTCAGTTTAAGGTATTCTAATTAATTTATTAAATGTTAGTTAACATTTTGGCTCATGAATTGTATTAGTGCTTTGAGAAGTGACCAAAATTGGAGTGATTTTTTTCATTTATTTATTAGGAATGCTCCACATAAATATAATTTAGTGGGTAAGTGACTACAACTTTATTTTCTTTTTAAAGGATTGAGGAACTCAACAGAGAATGAAGCAAAATAAAAAGTGAAAATAATAAGAGAAAAAAACATCTTTGGACAATTTGCAAATAAATTTATAGAGATTTGACAGTGATATGAGAAGATGCTCTGATGAAATGAATGTGCTAACATGAGAAAGAAGTCGTCCATTTACCGATAAGTCATTAGTTCATCTGGAACAAAGATACACAAAGTCAATTACAGTTTTACCAGAAAACACATGACAGTTACTTATTCATTTCACATTGTCTAAAAGTAAAACATTTTATTCATTCGACATTACGTCAATTAAAAACACGTACTACAATACAATCACTGAAACAAAAGTCAATACAAAGAAATACATCAAAACACAGAGCAAGATAATAGAAGAAACCAGAACATTAATATTTTATACATGATATTAGCCAATGTTAAAGTAGTTAAAATCTAGCATCAAAATCTAGTATTGCCACTCTAAAACAACTTTACCTTTAGTTTTCTTTCATCTCTGGGTTCAGGTAGACTGGCTAATTTTTTTTCAATTTCATCCAAGCATTTCAGGAGATCATCAGCCTGCCTCTTGTACTGATACCACTGGTGAGAAATTTCTAGCGCCTTTTTTCTTCTTTGAGATCTCAAATCCTGTTCATGGTGTAGATATTATTAAAATATCAATATATATATAATATACATATATATTGGCTATAGTCATTTATAAAAACCAAATTCATACCCCTGTGTTTCAAATTATGTAAAAATTATATTCAAAGACAAAGCATGCATAAATTATTATATAATATATTATATATTAATGAAGATCTATGAACAGAAGCTAAGAAACATGAATAACACAAAATAATTGGTTCTTTAAATATTTACACTTGCTTACATTTTTTCATTTAATTAATTCTTAACTATTTAAAAATTATTTCATAGTACATTTGAAACATTTTTATATATGACTGTAATGAATTTAACTAGTTAGCTACAAAAGCACTGAGTTGCACTTGACTTAAAATACTGAAAAATTCTAATATGTAGAATGTTCAGGTTGGGGCTTATCAACAAAAATTAATGTTATAACAGACAAATTATATACAGTCATGACTTTAGAAAAGTCTATAAAATTAGACCATTCATATTATTGATTATCAGTTTAATTATTTTGAAAGCTCAAGAAATGCTTCAGCAGTTAAGAACATTGTCTAATATAGCCCAAGTTTAAGTAACCAAGTTTAAGTATCAGAACCTACATGGCTACAGACAAACATCTGTAACTACAGTCTCAGGGCATTTGACACCATCTTCTGGCCTCTGAAGGCACACGACACACATGGTGCACAAAAAATTATGGATGAATCTACCCATATAAATAAAATTAAAATAATCAAAGATAATTTCACTAGTTATTCTAAAGTTTTTCTATTTCTATGTACAACTATAAATATTATTTCTGTAGCTATTTTGATTGTATATTATAATGAGAAATTAAATATTTGAAATTTCTTTTTTCTTTAAATACATGCTTATCCCACATTTTATTATTATAATAAATCACATTGAAAGTATACAAAGAATCAATATTTTAAGCAGAATGGTTTTCAATCAACCTGTTGATATAAAACTAGGAAACCATTTAAATAAATAATTAAGGAGGAAAGAAGTTATTATCTAGCTCATCAAAATGCACTCAATATTTTCTATAATAAGTAGAATTACAAAACGCACCCATGTATACGCATTGGAAATACAACAGCTCTATCTACATATTTCATTTCTTCAATGAGGCAGCAATTGTGTTTTATGTCCAGTTAATATGATTTTAATAACACCAATGAATAGCTGAATGTTTCATTGCTTTGAAAAATCTCTTTTGAAATATTTTATAATAATAGAATTGCAAGTACTTGGCAGGTTAACTTAATGATTGTATTTGGTATAAATTGATTTAGCAATAACTTATTACTATTAATCATGTGTGGCATGAGGTCATAAAATGTATTGCAGCTTGTACTTTATATGTCATGTCTAAGCCCCAATGTAGTGGTAATAAGTGCCTTGGAACAGTCAACTGTAATTCTGCTACCCCCAAGAAATATACTAAGATCTGGTACCATGACTTATTGTACTATGACTAATTCATGATATAATGAACATATTTGCATAAAGGACTTAGTGATTATATAACTAGAAGTGATTTTGTTTCCTTAGAAAGAGGTGACATGCAATACAGGATACTGCTTACAGAAAATATGCATACTAGTTAGATGTATGCAAGATGACCTCTAGATACTGCTAATCAATGGTACACATATCCTCTTGTAACTAGTCTATTAACTTACAAAAGCTTTGTCAAGAAGAGTGTGAATTACAAAGGATTCTGATCTTCTAGTCATATTATGATTTGCTTTTGCTTTCCCCTCTAGGAAGATGTCTTTTCTATTTACTAATATACTTATCAGCAGTTACTTTCAGAACACCTGCTAGCCAAATAGACTTTGCTGTTGACTCCTTGCAGGCACAATATTGTGTAATTACATTCTCAGCAGTGCTTATTTGGTTAACAATATTGAAAAGATTTTAACCACTTATTTGCACTTAGAAAGCAGATTCCATCTACCTACTAGGAGAATCTAACTATATAGGTCTAAATAATGATTTACAATGTAAAACATTACAATTAACATTATTAGATAATCAGCCATGAAGGAAAAAAGAAGATTGCAAAGCATATACGAAAACGTTTCATAAAATGTTCATGACGTCTAGTTTCATAGACAGTATTAAGGAAATAAAAGAGTTTATTCTCTTTTTCCTACATACTTGGATGAGTCAGAAGGATACTTGACCACATATATTATTTTTGGTAGTATTTCTTCAAGTTTGATACAAGCATTTTGGAGGGTTTCTATATAAATGTAATTAGGTTTTGGTAGCTATCTAGTTTTACAGACTACCTATTATAAGCACAATAAAGTTTATTTTTTAAAATGACAAAAATCCACATCTTATAAAAGAAATAATTAACCAAAATACTAAATGTTATATAAAGGAACAACAGTGGAGGAACATCAATTGATCATTTTGGCAAACACGACAACTATAAAACAAGCTTACAGAAATAAAGCATATTAGAGACTAACAAATACTGTGAATGATAATTTTTGATAGCTTTCAATATTCTAAGAAAAAAGAACTAAAACTACAGTTTATGTTACATAGCTTTCAAAACTGGTAACACAAAAGAAAATCATAAAGCACACATATTGAAAGAAAAAATTAGCTTTCTGGTAACTAAAATTCTTAAACAGATTTTATTAATGTACATGGTATTTTACCCTATATAGACAAAACCACAGGCAAAGCATATTATAATTTGAGCTCTAATACCTTGAGAGCATTGTGTTTTTTCTGTAACAGCTGCTGTTTTATTTTTATTTCCTCTCGCTTTCTCTCATCTGTGATTCTTTGTTGTAAGTTTTCTCCTCTTTGCAACAATTCATTTACAGTGCCCTCATTGTCTTCACTCTGATTGAAAACAACAAGTACAGTCTTCATCTTGGTTTTTAAAAAGCTGTACACTGATGTTAGGGGTAATAAAACATTACATAAATATACTTAAAAAAATCTAATCTTAAAATTATAGGGAATTCAATCATAAAATACCATGCTCACAATATTTCTTTTGTATTTCTATATATCTCTTCTGAAGAATACATTTTGAGTGGCATATGTATGAAGATGGGGAGAAGAGTTGTTTCAATGGTAGAAGTTGTGATTTGCTGTAAAAATGTTACTTTGGGTTTTATTTATATTACTGCTAAACAAACTAAAAATGTATGGAGAAATAAACTAATCTTATCACTTCCAATTTTACTGATCTATGTATAAATACTCTATTAAGTAAATTTTAGAATATACAGTAGATTTAGATAGTAAATTATATTTTATATTTAAATCTAAATGTTCAAGTTTAGAATGTAGAGCATTAATGAAAATGATGGTGACATTTTTCAGATATTAAAAATAATGTCTAAAATGACACATAATTATGCAGACTTTAAGCAAATAAAACAGTACTTTGAGTATGTATTAAAATAATTTCAAAAATTTTTAATACTCATTTTATTATATTCTCCAAGGATAATTGTTTTATTCTTTAGGAAGAATAGTTTAACTCTATTTACTTAAAGATGCGATTTGAAAAACATGCTATTATAATATCATTGCATATGGATATATTTGTGCATCTCTTGTTTCCTGACATTCAACTCCAAATATTAAAAAAAAAAATCTACTACAAAGTTGTACTATGCAATAGTACCCAGGTATTCCATTGAGCTAATAATAAATGACATACAAATTTCAAAATACACATTTCACATATTATTATATGTGTTAATAAATTTAATATATGTACATCTATAACACATGCTTACATTTCAAAATAAAACTGAGGAATCATACACTCTAAGAAATATTTTTTATCAGCTATCTATTAAAAGACTAGAGAAAGTCACATATACACACACACAAACACACACAAACACACACGTTTGTTGTCTATGAAATAATATTTTAAAACTTTTGAAACTTTAAAAAAATTTCTGTGGTTTGGAAAAAAACAACAATAAAGACAAAAGTTTAATTTATTTCCTCATGTGAGGGCTCTATGGCATGGTTGATAGTGAGACTGAGATATAAGCAAGACTTTTGATTTATCCACCCTGGACTTTCTTCTTTGACATGAAGTAGCAGTAGTTGGAACTCAGCATTTCTGATAGTTTCTTCCTGTCCTTTTTTTCCATGACCTGAGCTTTGAAGACCACTAAACTTCTTATATAAAGGAGTACCCATTAAGACAGCTCCAGGAAATAAGAATTAATATTTCTCATCCAAAAATACTTTGCCTTCTATTGCTCTTTTCAAGCACTGTCTAAGAAGTCTTTAGCTTTGATGCATATTGAACATCTCTACTTATTGATATATATAAAGGATAAGAATGCTATAGTGGTGATTATAGCAGAAAAGGAGAAAGAACATGTGAAAAAGTAAAGTGAACATAGCATAAAAATAATAGTGATGTGATGTAAATACAATCAAGCCAGAAAGAAATTAGCAGAGATTTAAAAATATTCTAGGTTTATGTATAGGGTACATGGACTTATTTCTTTACTCCCACTGAATAAACAACATGGAATTATTTTACATATACACATATATATTTACTCAATATATATTTTACATACAATATTAATATTATATACATCCATATATATTTAATATCTATATATGTATATCAGTATTTTTCTCAAATATTCGGTAAAACTATTTGTTAGAAACTTTGGGAGACAATATTCACATTTCATGCAATTGTCTTTACTTTTACCAAAAATATCAGAAAAATAATCCTCCGATATATAAGAAACTGGAATTTTTATCACATTTTACTTTATTCCTTGATGGCTATTTCCATTTACATTTTGCCTTCTGAAGATTAAATCAGAACAAGCCAAAACAGAATTAATCTATTTATTAGAAGTTGAGAGTGTTTCTATATGTTCATAAGGTGGTAATTTGACAATAATAATACAATGTCAAAAGGAATACTTTTCATTTAATAAAATCATTAAAAAATAACACTTTGAATGGTAGTATTCTGAGAATTCAGTTGGAGACATAAGCTATATTATTTCTTTCCAAATATTTATTCATTTTCATTCCCAGTTCATTCACACTTTCATCATAACCAATTTACCATATCTTTATTGAAGTCTTCCTCTTTCAGAGTCACCCCCTGCTGAATTTCAGCCTCCAGTGGTTCAAGCAATTTTTGTATATCTGAGTTAAACTGCTCCAATTCCTTCAAAGGAATGGAGGCCTAAAAAAAAAAGAGTGCTAATTTAAATCAAAATTACTTTTTATTAGAAACATAAACCAAATGAAATGCATTTATTCAGAACCCTGTTGCTAAAATAATGACATGCATTATGTTTCCATATTAAAGCTTATGAAGGTTTTGAAATACAACTGGGAAAGTAGGTGAGGACACATATATGGAGAAACACTTGTGACCATAGAACATACATGCAAGATAATGCAATTCATCATTCCAGAATATCAAAATAGTCCTATTTTAGACATTCTGCTAGTACAACATTTAAGTTAACATGTCTTTCCAAAATTATCTCATTCATCATTAACTGTATCTTTGGGCAAACATTAGAATTTTCACCTTATTTTTAGAACAACCATGTGGCAATCTCTTCAAATATTTCAAATGCCATTTTTATCATGGTACAAATTCCTGGCATGTTCTCCTAAGTCAACACTATTAGCTTTCTCCAAGAATGTTTTGTTAAGTGACATAAATACATACCTATGAATGAAACCCAAATATTTCATATACTTCACAATATAATTCTGAAATTGATATTGATCATGGTTTCAAAATTCTTAATAATCCTTTGAATTCCTAAATGAAAGATTTTAAAATGCATGGAAATATGTTGAAAATAAAATATTCAAAGAACCATGCCATCATGAAAATTCTGTTAGTAAAATCTACTTATTTTATTCTCTTAAACGTTTATATTGAATATGTTAATATAACAGTAAAAATCGTTTTACCTGATCATTTCATAAGGTTATAACTGTAACATATAGTGTAAATTATGGCACATCTTCAATGTCTTTCTCCCTTTCCAGTAAATGGTTTATAGAATACTCTTTAAAAGGACATATAGTCATACTACTTCAAATTTGAATTATGAAATACAATATTTGAATTATTGTATTTGAAATACAATTATTTTTGAAAGGTTAAAAACTGGAATAACCTAACCTTAAAGGAGATTGCAGTCTTTCAATTATTATCATACTGCCATAGTGCACATGCATATACAGTCCAAATGTATACACAATACTTATCTGGTGATACTTTAAATTACTGAATTGTTGTTCATCTTTGCTGATATTCTGTGAGAGCAAACTGCTGTTCAACATGACTTTTACAGATAGAAAATAAATATTTAAAGTAAACTTCATTCACTAATTAGATACCAAATTTCTATATATAGTTATATAGTTAGTTTTACCTGTTTTGTTCCACCTGCTTTTTTTTTTTGCTAGCTCATCCTCTATCTACATACTTAAATACTTAAACAGAACAACTTTAAGGTCTCAGATGGTGGGCTTTTGTGACTCTGTCCCACTGTATTTTCTGTAATTAATTAATTAATTGTTCTTCAAAACAACATGACTTTCAAATTGTTGTATTTATCTATAATGTCACTTTAAAATCTAGTCTAAATTTTCCAACAGCTAACTACATGCCAAGGCTGATTGATATCCATGGGATGCCTCCTCTTTTCTGAGAAGAGAAGGCAGGGTCGATGGGGGAGTAAGGGAGATGGAGGGATGGATTGAGAGGAGAGGAGGAAGAGGAGGCTGGAATCAGTATGCAAGGTAAAGAAATAATAATAAAAATTCAATCTTTAAATATAATATTTTTAATTTCAACTGGAATTGTGCTTTTTCTCAAAGTATATGTAATACCATTTTATCTAATTTAGTTAACACCATAACTATATTATTAGCCAAACATTCTCAAAACAAAAATCCTGTTATTATTGGATACATCCTAAGCTATTGGCTATCCTTGGATCTAATTAATGTCAAATATAAATTAATTGCCTATGCTCCAGTAGTTTTTAAACCAGTAATATGAAAAAAAATCTCCAAAGAGGTATTCAACTCCCTTCCTTACTAATAAGCCCCATCTAGTGCACAATGACAAGGTCAGTATGTCGATTATATTTTTTGCTATACAAGGACCTTACCCATCTACGATAAAACAAAGCAAAATAAAAAACACCCAAAACAAACAAATAAACAAACAGACAAACAAATTACAAATAAGAACAATAAGGTATGGGCTCAAGCATGATCATCAAATCCTCTTCTAATATATTACTGAGAATCTTTTTAGGCTTAATTAATATAGGATTGCTTTGTAGGTCATTTGGTTGATTTTTACCACCTACTCTCAATATTTGGATAATGTCTCTGATCATCTAATAAAGAACAGAAGCTCTTGACTTAAAGTTCCTACATTGAAATTGGGCTTCACATGCTAGCTGAGAAACCTTAGGCAATGGTTGCTTTTATTTTTTTTCTAGAACATGGATTATATTATTCATAACAATGAGAAAATCTACTTCATAAGAAAGTTATGAAAATCAATTGTGTTAGCGTTTATTTGAAATATAAACTCCTATTCACCTGTGTGACACGAATTAATACTCAATACATTTACCTCAAATGCTCACCTCCAAAGCAGACATTACCCAATTTTCCTCTTTTCAAAAAGTTCCAGCTCAGGGGAAGGTTCCAAGGCCTGACACTATTATTGATGCTATGGTGTGCTTACAAACAGGGGGCTATCATGACTGTCCTCCGAAAGGCCTAACAAGCAGCTGAAAGAGTCAGATGTAGATATTTGCACCCAACCAATGGACAGAAGCTTGCGACCCCTGTGGTTGTATTAGGGAAATGCTAGAAGAAAGTGAAGAGGAGGGTCACCCTGTAGGAAGACCAGCAGTCTCAATTAACCTGGATCATCAAGATCTCTTAGACACTGAGCCACGAACCAGCAGCATACACCAGCTGATATGATGTCACCAAGACATATACAGCAGAGGACTGCTGGGTATGGACTCAGTCAAAGAGGAAGCACCTAACCCTCAGGGGAGTTCTGATGGGATGGTGGGGCACATCTGCTTGGAGATAGTGAGGAGGTATGGGACATGGAACATTCAGAGGGTGGACCAGGAAGGGGATAAAGTCTGGACTGTAAAAATGATTACAGAATAAATGAAAAATAAAGTTTCTAAAGAATAAATGCTTTTTGGTTTTATTTTTATTTTGGTATTGTTTTATAGAAAAATAAAATAATTTAATACTAGTGTTAGCATGGAGAAATGTAGGTGCCAGTTTGTCAAACTTTATCAAACTTACTAAGAAAAGTTGACATATTAGCTTCTAGTACTATTGAAAATAATTCCAAGGAAAATGTCAATACTCATGTTTTGTACTCTGAAGTATTTTTATTAACAGTTATTTGGAGAAGTAACTTCAGAACCAGTGATAAAAACATCCACCATCTATGAAATGGTTTTGTTTCATTATATCTAGAATCATTCCTTCTGTGGAGTAGGTATTCAGAAATATTATTTTTTTTTTCTAGAAAAGGAAGTAAACTTTTTATAGTACTGTAATGCCATAGAAGAATATATGTTTCAAGAAGTCTAGTAAATTATATATAAATATTTAAAAGATCTGACTGGTTCTCTGCTATTCATATGAAAAATATGTCAAAAGAGTAAATGATACAAAAAGCATGATATCACATTATACAAAAAGTAAAATCCAACCGTAAACAAAAAAAAATTCCACCACCAACAAGCTACTAACATAAAAATATTTTAAACAGTACTATTTTAAAAATGAATATAAGTTCACAGAAAAATAGAAACTTAAACAACTTTTAGTAAAATGCACAGGGATGAGACTTGATGTAACACTACTCTGCATTTGGTAAATGACCATTATAAGAGTTAGAGATTAAACCCTACCAATGCTTTTCTAAAATCAATAATATAAATTAATAAAAAGTATTTGCAGATTATACTTTAGGTTAACATAAGAATAAATTTTGAATTTGGACAGTTTCAAACTTTATTAGAAGCACCAAATTTTTAATTACCAAAAATACACAAATAGATGCTGAATAGTGATGATTTTGGTCATATATTGAAAATGTGATTCCTTTACCATGTGTATTACCTTAAAATCTTACACCTCATGATGAAATCTGTTTTCTAAGATCAAAGCACATGTTCTGAATAGTGTTGCTAAATAGAAATATAATGAAAGTCATAAATTCAATTAAAATGAACTAGTTAGCAAATTAAAAACAGAATCAGGCAAAAATATTTTATTTTCTATATGTGCAAAATACTATCTTCCAATATTCAGTAATATTTTCAGTTGTGTAACTAAAATGCTGTATTCTAAACCACAAAAATTGCTAATTATATTTTACATTCGCTATTTCAAATCAAATATAGTTATGTCACATCTTAATATAGATTAGGCAAATTTTAAATGATTAGTAGACTCATTAGTATAGATGTATACTCTTTTAGCATTTTTAACTAATAAAATTTAGTTTTTATTATGAACTAAAATGTATGCATGGAATATAATCTTATCAATAGTATACAAAATATGAACATTCACAAATTTTATTGTGTTGTATTTGTTATATTTTCAAAGGTTGTATATAACATCAGTTTCATTCACATGCATTTTAAGATTTTGTCTGTTATTTTTTAGACTATATTGTTGACAGAATTTTTCCAGATAGTCCTTTGGGTATGAGAAATTATAAGTGAATTTTATTCAGAATTTCAAGATAATGTATCCCACATTTATTCACTACCCTAAACTACATTTTTACTCTCTTAACTATTAATATTGTTATATGACTAATGGTATACTTTTTCCAAATAGATATTCAGTCTTTGCATCTTTGATATTAGCATCACCTCTTGTATCATTCTGCATTTTGCATACCAAATATGACATCATTTCTTATGGTAAAGGAAAATATCTGTCATATATATATATATATATATATATATATATATATATATATATATGAATGAATGACTAGTTTCTAGTTTTAAGGCTACTTGCACATTGATAAATCAATGATGATTTTCTTCATTCAAAATGACAATAAATAATCAACCCGATTGTTTTATCTGTTGACCTGAAGAAATAAGGCTCTTAGGATACTTGTGGTCACTACTCTTT